ACGTGTATGCATGCATCATATAAATGATATGGTAGCAAATCCCGAAGAAACAAATGGGTTTGTCCATTCCCTTAATGCAGCCATACGCACAGAACAGACATTTATATTCTCTCGATAACATATCTTTTATCATATTATATACGAATTTCCATCAGTCATTTCACCGACTTGATATGAACAAAATTATGATATACTAATAGAAATGTAGAAATGACATTAGACCAATTACTATGTTCTTCTAATCTTTCACTTAAACAATGATTTTCATCTCCCAGATGCTTTCTAATAAGTGGTATATGGACCACTTTTATGTTGAATTATTAAGTTTTAGTTTATATATATATATTATTGTTCATGACTGTGGATGTTTTTTTTTTTTGTGTTGAAATTCTTCTTAAAACTCTTGTAAGTTAAGATATAAGAAATAAGAATGAAGCTTACGACATGAAGAATCTAAAGAGAAATGATGAATGGAAATGCATCTTGGGAAGATCAAGAAGTTATACTTGTTCTGTTGCTCGCCATATATATATATATATATGAAAAGATTAAGCTTCATATCTCAATAAATATAAATTCTTAAGCTTAAAAACTCAACAAAAAAAAAAAAGAAAGTATCTTAAAATGAAGAAGGCTTGTAAAGGGACTTCAATACATATGTTCTGAGTCACCTTTGAAATATATTCAAGTCAACAAAGGACACAGAAGAAGTTTGTCAAACATTACAGAGAAAAGATAAAAAGAGAAATACTCCATGGTCGTCATCCGTGGAGAACATGTACTACTGACTCAAGACAACGGGAATAGACTGCATTTTCAAACTTCCAAGAAACTGTATACATCCACCTGCCGTATGACATAATTAATGGATAGTTTCAAGAAGTTGTATACCCTCATCTATCTTGTTGAGTCTGGAAAAAAATCTATTCTTTTTAACACTTATTTACTCTTGAAAGAGAAAGGGCAATCCTTGTTCTTCAACTCTACAACCTTAAAGAGGGAATTTCCACAAAGGAGTGAGTGGTGTAGTGTGCTCTTTGATTGTCAGAATTGTTTGGTGACACACTTGTGAGGGGTGTAGCTAGTCACCTTGATAAACAAATTGTGTAGAAATTGAAGGTTGGAACCTTGTGAAAAAGAAGTTGCATAAGAGGTGAAGTTTGACACCTTGATAAACAACCATTATAACAAATATTCTATACCGGGGACTTGAGGAGAGGACGTAGGCACACAAGGAATGGTTGAACCTCTGTAAATCAGTTTTTTGTCTTCTCTATCTCAAATCAATTCTTACTTCTTTGCTTGTTACATTATTGTATTCAGGCATTTCTAGAAAGCAGAGAATATCTAATCATATATTTTATCACATAGACATTAAACACATTAACTAATCAAGTTAAAATAGTAAAAACAGAGAAAGATTATAAAATCTAATTCACCCCACACTTCGGTCACATTTTATTAAGAACAAGTGGCATTAGAGCAGGTATCTAATCTTACTGATGTCAGTGTTCAAAGTAAAGATCTCAGAATGACAAATATGTGTAGTGGATGTCAATCAACTAACAGACTTATCTTGGTGGATGTGACAACCTATGGAGACTCGAAGGCAAGGATGAAGACAAATACATAATTGACAGATTATAATGCTTGGAAAATCGTAAGAATGGACCTTATGTACCCTTTAAGAACATAGATGGAATAGTTATAGTAAAATAGAAAGATGATTGGGATGAGAAAGATTGTAGGTCAGTATTTTTTTTTTTTCCGAGATAAATAGTAGATTAGAATTATCAAATGAAAAGACTGTAAATATACTCTACTTCGGATTATCCTTAAAACGAGTATAACAGATTCTCCACATGTGACTTGACCAAAGAAAAATGTTATAAGATTTAAATAACCTGTCAAGGAACTAAGCACGTAAAGGAATTAAAAGTTAACTTGTACATGATTATGAATTATTCAAAATGAACGAGCATGAATCTGTCTAAGTCATATTCACAAGATTTACAAATATTACATGTATCTTACAGTTACATGACAAAGTCTACTCAAGTGACGAACTTGTTTAGATGTTTGGCCAAGATCTTAGGATCCAGAAGTGATAACAATTCAAAAAACCAAAGATATAAACAAGCTCAGCTTAGATGAACTTCTAGGATATATCATGAGTCATGAATTGATGATGAAGAGAAAGAGTATGAGGATGAAAAGAAAGGAAAAACTCTCGCACACCAGGCTTCAGTAACTATGGATAACAGTGAAGAGAAAAGCTGTGATGATGAGGAAATTGCTCCTCTCAAAAAGGCTACAGAAAGTCATCAGGAAGAAGAGATCATCTCACGGAAAAAAGTTTCCCTCAGAGAGATTCTGGCAAAAAGAGAGTAATTTTACTTTGGCTGTAATAAGCCAAGACATGTGCTGATTGATTGCTAAAGTAAGAAAATGAGATAAGAGAGCCAAAAAGAAGGTTTTGGTTGCAACCTGGAATAATATTAAAGCATGTAGCTCCAGTAGTGAATATGAAGCCACTATGGAGAATATTTGTCTCATGGCATTTAATGATAGAAATCAAGCTCAATCTTCTCTGAATAAAATGACTTGTTAAAGAAGAAAATCATGCTTTGATAATAAGACTAAACAAGCCTAATATTTATGAAATAAGAAATGAAAATGATGCATTAAGAAAGAAAGTTGAATATGTTGATGAGACACTATCTAAATTTGTGCAAGGAAAAAAACACCTTGATATGAATTTGCCAAAGCAACGGAGTGTTATGATAAGGCTAGATTGGGATGTAATCTCAAAGAAACAAAAAAAAAATTAGAAATTTCTCTGTAAAAGCTAATAACACAAAAAGATCTACAACCATTGTGGAAACACTGGACACACATCACATGAATGTTTCTTCAAGAGAAATGCTTATAGTAATAAAAGAGAAAGAATTTAGTCTACAAAAGGAATCACTTTTTCTAACAAGCAAGGATCCAAAATAACATGTATTCCAAAATAAAAGGGGTGAATAGTGTCTCTTGTATGTGATACTCCTATTTAAAAAGATATTGGTATCTAGACAATGACTACTCGAGACACATGACTGGAGCACAAAAAGAGCTTCAAGGAATTGAAACCAAATAAAGGAGGAGAGGTAACTTTCAAACATGTTTGAATTGTTATACACATTAAATCATTGTTTATTAGTCGGGGCAAAATTTTCATTGACTTTTCTCTCAGAAAAAGTTAAGGAACTTCAAACTCAGCTCAATAATATATAAAAGTATAAGATTGACTTATAACTTTGTTATTATATATGAAGGAGCTTTGCTACAACATCATTTGGCAACTGATCTTAAACTTTCATTGAATTATACACAAACTACTCACAGATAAAGTAAAGTTCCATAGAGTCCTGACAAGATATACCCAAAGCAACAAGATGAAAATGAATAAAACACATAACTTTTCCGAAAGATCCTAGAATGAAGATGTCAGCCAAAAGTACCGTTTATGAAATTATGTTCAAATAATGATCATGAATACATAATACGCATGCATGTTGGTAACAGAATTCCATGCTTGTACCACTAAATAGGAAGTACAATCAGAAGCATTGACAATTGAAAAAGCACTTCCAAACACCAGAGTTTATATGCATTTTGCTGCGCCGCGTACGGAACATTTAAATAACTATAGCACTATGATCATTAGCAATGTTTTGACTTACATTGGAAGAGATAAATAAAGAAGAGCACCCAGAGGGATACATAAGGCAAAATTTCAAACATTTACTTAGGCATCATAACAAAATTTATCTAAACTTTTCACTATTCTATCTGTGCCTTCAGACATGCTTGTGTCAATAGTTAATAACTACTTGTCCATGTGATCAGTATGTGTGATCTAGAGTCTAACAGCTATGAAATCTATCTATTACATTCCAGATACCCAACTTGGCTTTTCTATATCCAATCTCACATGTATCCTTCAGTTTTTCTAAACTCTACAGTGAAAGGTTCGGATAGAATGTAAAAGAGCTATGAGCTCTTCACTTGTGAATTGCCATTTCAATTGTAAAATGTCAATCAGAAACATTTCATACATCCATAAAACAATAGCAGTAACAGGAAAAGATTATGAATATTAAAATATCAACATCCAAGAACAAGCTTACTACTTCACTATATAGTCTCCATTTATAGAAAAGAAAATATATTTTTAGTATTAAACCTATGTTTTTTTTTTTATTTTAAAAAAAAGTATTAAACCTATGCTTTTTGCTTCCAGCCTTCTCTAGCAGGTAGAACTCTCAGTAGCTAGCACCACAATACTAATTCATTGTAATGCCGGCATCCCTTATTGGTATTATTGTGTTCAAACCAGAGCACAGACTTTACTTTCCTCTTGGGTAGAAAACCACAACGAGAAATAACATGAAGATTCTTTAGATGTTATTCTGCAATCAACAAATACGGTAATTATCTAAAAATCTTAATTCAATCTTCTACGTCCTCGCTATATAGCCATCCTTGGCAACCTAGAGTTTATCATCTATTAAGAAATAATTTATGCTATCCTACTCCTGCAAAGGGCTATTTCTAAATACTGAAGGATGGGTAAGATCATACTACAGGAAATAGCATCAAGTGACTGAAGAAGAAAGAGAAAGCAATAAAATTAAGATTATCAATTTGCAACTGCTTCCTTCTAACATGAGCTGACACATTATTTAGTTCAACAAAGACTTGTTCATTTCCATTATTGTTAAAAATTCAGGTATAATCATACTTCAGGCAACAGCATCAGATTACCACGTGGCAAAAGCTTCATCCTAACATGAGTACTCATAGACTTTGGGATAATGAAGTCTGTGAACGTCTTATTTCATTTCTTAGCTCCTATAAATGCTAAGAAATTTTAAAACTTAGGTTCTGATTAAGCAGTAGAACCAATAAAGATTTTGAAATTCAACTAACAGAACTAAGATAGCATACAGAAGTGTTTGATATATCTCACTCAAGGGTTTAAGCAGTAAAAGTAGCTTGGTTTCCATTTGAACATAATATCCAGCAATACAAGCTGCCAGCCAAAGCTAAACTGACCTAACAAAACAATTAAAAAACTCAAAATGCATTTCACCTTTCAGGCAAAGACTGAAGCTATTTTCAAAATCAACTTGAAGAACCCCCAACCCATGTGCAACAACATGAAGCATGCACACAAATCTGTTTAAGTACAAATAGAATAATGCTTCAACCCCTATGCGGCCTTTGAACTACCTCCAATTAGATATTAATCATTGTGAGCATAACTTCTGTAATGCCACTGAGAAACAGAGGTCGCTTTTCAGCCATGAATCTATAAAACTAACTGGTACTATTCTCCCCGCTATTTTCCCTTAGAACTTAGACAAAGATAACCATTCAGCTAAAGATTAAACATTTAGCCTCCCTTTTATGCATGATATCACGGGAAGCACCTGCAGATTTTAATTCCCCTACTACCCAAAAACATTAGCCAAAGCAGAAACAGAAACCAAGAAACTTTCCAAGAAATGAGAGAAGGATCTAATAGAAAAACAACGACTATTCACCTCAAATGAACAATCAGAAAGACTATTTCTCTCAACTCTTGGACCCTGCTGTCTCCCTTTCCGCCTTCTCCGCAAAAAGCTTTGTGGCAATCATGTTGTCAACAAAATACTCCCTGTAAGGGTGATTCCTCGGAACAAGCCTCCGGAACTTCTCAAATTGCTTCTCAGCCTCATCTTTCTTCTTCAACAATGAATATATAATACCCTGACACAGGTATGGCCTAAAATCCCTAGGCTCTTCCTTTTCCAGCTCCTGATAAACCTTCAAAGCCTCAGAATGGTTACCCTCAATGACCCGAATTTGCGCGACCAGTAGCTTGAAATCCCTGAAATCCTTCTTCTTCTTCTCCTTCTTACACTTATCCATTGCTACCTCAATCCTCTTCTCTAAATCCTTCAACTTAAGACCCGACTCCGAGTAGGCCATTACTAGCCCGTGATAAGCCTCCACTCTAAGTGGGTCCTTCGCCAAAATATCCTCGAACTCATTTTTTGCCGTGCCGAAATCCCCACTATAGCTATGAATTTGGGCTTTTAGTAACGGCCATTCCTGTTCCTCTGGTTCCAGCTCGATCAACCGGTCGATAACCTGTATCGCTTCTCGGAGCTTTCGCGATTTGATCCTCACCTCCATGAGGGACCGTAATGCTTCGATATCGTCAGGGAAACGAGCCAAATGCTGCTCAATGTTTCTCTCCTGCTCTTCCAGTGTAAGATTTTCAGTCGATTCACTAGTAGGCTCCACTGTGGATGTTGTTGTTGTCGTAATTGGTGCTGCAATAGCAGGTCTAGCGTGAAGGCGCATGAAGAACAACGCTGCCGCGGCTACAGTGATGCAGGTGGTTTTGAAAAAGGAAGATGAGAGGGTTTTCATAGTTTCGATGTTTTGATTGAATGGCTCGGATGAAGCTCTAGGGACAAGCAGCTTGAAGGATACGACTGAAGAGGGAGGGGTCTTAAAGGAAAGGGAAGAAATCGGTTTGCGAGATGAAGGACGGAGAGGATTGACGGAGAGGGGGAAGGGTTGATGGCGGAATTGGAGCTTAGCAAGAGATTCCATGTCTGCTGATGGACAGAGACAGAGGGCTAAAACCCCAAAACCCTGAAGAAGATGATAATGGAAGAACAGTGTGTTCAAAACCTTAGACAACATGCGACTTGATTATTCGCCGTGTTACACTGTTCTGACATAGAAACGACACCGTTTCAAGAACCTCTGAGACGAAGAAACGACACCGTTTCAAGCACCTTTGAGACGTAGAAACGACACCGTTTTCGACCAACTTGGAGACGAGCTTCCCCCTTACCGGATGATGCCCCAAACATAATTGCCATTGGGCCCAAATATAAACAATCATTTTATAGAAACCATATTTGTAAAAGAATAATATATATATATATATAAGGAATTTTAATAAACAGCTTAATAGTTTTTGTGGTTAAGACTTTTCAATTAAATGGGAAAAATTAAAAATATTTTGGGTAATATTTAAAGCTAAAATATTTTTTGAACAAATATAAACATAGATTATATACTTTAAAAAATTATTTCCATTTTCAAAAAAAAAATCACACATTTATTTCCAAAATTAGCCTCATTCAAATTTTTTTCATTACATAAATTATTTAAATATCTATGACCATTTAATTTATAGATATTTTACAAACTTAATATAATTATTTTAAATTATTTAAATATTATTGAAATTTAAAATAAATAGTTTAATTAGCATTTGTTTATTAAAAACTAAATAATTCTTACACCCTTTGATAATTTTAATAAAACTATTTTCAGTAAATACAACTAATATTTTTTTTATAATTATTTTCATTAAATACACTGTTTTTTTAAACTAAAAATTGTATTATTGTGAAGTTATTTAGTAGTACTTTTATTACTATAAACTATGCTTAAAAGGCCTATCCCCCTCCCCCTAAAACGACGCGTTTAGACTCACTGGCTTTCTTTTTCTGGTGATCGAGGCTTTAGGTTTCAGTTTTTATTCATCATTCAAATGGAAAAAAGGACCAACAACAGATGGTGCTCTTAGGATTCTGAAATGGAAAAAAAAAAAGAAAAAAAGATGAGAGGGAGGTCGCTCAGTATGGCTGCTTCAGGGCGTTCGATGAGGGGATAATCTAATGATAATGATCATTTTCTTAAGATAAAACGAGGAAGAAGACAACAAAAGTTCAGACAATTGAAGGAAAAAAAAGGTCTGTTGAGGAAAGGACAAGGAGAGCTTTTGGGAGGGAGGGAATAGAAAAGAGTTTGAATTTTTAGATGAAGGTCTCAGCGAACCACCATCAAATGAATATATATATATATATATATATACAATTTTGTATTCATTTTGTTTGCCCACCTGGGTAGATATTGATTCTGTGCTCATTAAGGAATATGATATATATATATATATATATATACACTTAATTTTTTAAAAAGTTTTTTAAAAAGTCATTTCACTTTTACTCTGTTATTTTAAAGCTTTTTAAGGCTTTTTCAAAGCCATTATTGGAATTTTTATAGCTCTTTCTTGGTTTTCTTTCACAGATTTTTTGAGGCTGATTTTAGAACCTTCAGCATGCGAGGCTGGTGTAATAAACCCACTCTTGTTTCAATTCCTTTGAAAAGAAATTCGAAACTATATACTTTGTAGGACATGCAACCTTAACTCCATCAAAGTGCCAACTTAATTCTGTACATTTTTTGTAACGACCCCGAAAATAAAAAATGAAATATATAATAATTTAAGTACGAAAACGAAATAAAAGGTTAAGGTTTACATCCCTTACACAATAATTTAAAAGTACTAAACAAACATCACAGAATGAATTTTCTGAAAGAAACACGAGAAATGAGAAAAGTAAACGAAAATATAAAGTATTTAGCATCTACTCGCAATCTTCTTGCGGATCGGACTCGGGAACCAGGTACTCTTGATCTGAAATGGTTAAATAAGGGGTGAGCTACACTAGCTCAGTAAGGATATCGCACTATATCACTAGCACAGAAGTAAAGGTTGGTAGAAAATAAAAAATAACCAATGGAATATTAGATTTAAAACAATACATTTATTTAAAATAAAATTATTTACTCTTTCACTTACCATTGGGGAATTTGTGATAACAAATTATAGAAGCAATAATATCATACAGATCATAACTTCATGCACGATCAGTAACATAGAACATATCATAAATTCACATTTATTAACAATAAACTAAATTATAACCATTTTTCGTTTCACCAGCCTACTAATATCCATGGGGATCCATAGGGGTGTCTCCGCTACACGTGAACCCTTTCTCTTAACAATCTTAATTACATAACCGACCCCATACCCCGTACGGTATGAGCACTAAGACATTAAATCTCAATACCTCATCCGGTATGAGGGTGAATCGGCCGCCTCCATACCTCATTCGGTATGGGCACTAAATGACCAAGTCTCCATACCCCGTCCGGTATGAGACAACGTTCACGGTTGCAGTTCCCTATGAACCCGGTTCGTCCACCATCTCCCAGGATATCTATTGAGGCTTTCGTCTTATCTGTTTATTTGATCACATCCTTTTTCCTGTTTTTTCTTAGTTTCATTATCAAATCAAATATAATCACATAAACAAATAAACATGCATCTGTTAATGCCATCATCTCTTAGATCCTAAAATCAAACAGTAGTCAAGTAAGGCAATAATACATGCATTTCAACCATAAAATAGATAAACCATAAACCATCATGCTTTTAGACTGCAAAATAAACCAACAGAAATCAACATACAATAATGTCTAGTTCGGGCTCCATTAGCAATCCGTAATTAATTATACATATCTATTTAATTTGTGTAAAATACCGTATTATTATTTATTCAAACTTCAATCCATGATAGAAAATAGGGTGAATGGTCCTTATTTGATTTGACGTCGAAAAACTAAATAGTTTACTGTGCCTACGGGCGATCCTTGGCTTCCATGAATTTTTCTTCAGGAACTGAAACATGCTTACGGTACCTACAAATGTCCCAAATAAATCCAAAAATCACCGTCCAATCGCGATTAAATAGGGAGTGAATATGTACCGTTCATCACAATTCAATCTGGGCTGTCCGTGCGCGCAGGAACGGATCTCAGCTGTTCGATCGCGCGCACGCGGATCGCCCACGTGGCTCCCCCCTGCGTGGCCTCCCGCGTTAGCACCTCTGCCACTTAGCGTGTCCTACTTGGTTGGGGCTGCTAACCGGGCATCTGACGTAGCATAATTTTTTTAAATTGTATTTTGACCACCGATTTCTGATTTTTCTTTTAAAAATACCCACAAAATCTAAATTTTCACCTTTTTTTTCAAAATTATTTTCAATTTAATCCTTAACAAATTTTTACCCATTTTTTCATTAAATTAAAATAAAATAAAATAAATTAAATTAAATAAATAAATAACTATATTTAAAAAAATAAAAATAAAAGCAATTATTGGGTGTTACATTTTTCACCTAGAGTTTTGGTAGATTTTAAAGATATTTTTGAGCAATATCTAACCTAAAAATTAGCCATCATATTACTAAAAAATTAATGTCAAAATTTCATGGAAAATGGAATTCAAATCTCTCAAGGTTTACCTTTGAAAGATTTCTTCCTCTTTTCCTCTCTTCTTATTTTCTTCTTTTCTTCTTTTCCTCTCTGTGTTTATCCTTCCTTCCCTCATCCCCTATCTATAAAAGAGGGGAGCCTAAGGTGTTGATTGCCTAACTGATGTGGTAACCTTAAACTTCATAATTGATGTGGGACTTTTATTACTTTAAAATTCCTAATTGATGTAGAACTTTTCTAACTCAAGACTTCCTAACTGATGTTAGAGTTTCACCACTCTAAAATTTCTATCCGAAGTGAGATTTTTGTCACTTTAAAATTCCTAACTAATGTGAGACTTTTTTAACTTTAGACTTTTTAACTAATGTTAAAGTTTCACCACTCTAAAATTCTTAACTGATATAGGACTTTAATCACTTTAAACTTCTTAGCTGATGTGAAATTTTTGCACCATAAACTGACATGTATCATCTTTAAGGCTTCTTCCCACTCTAGAGGCTTCTAAACTTATCCACACTCCTCCCATCGCTTTAGCCTCCTTGCAGGTACTTCCATGAAAAATTTGGGCCCATTCGAAGCTTATTTGGGTCACCTTAGGCCCATATAAACCTATAAGGCCCAAAACCTCACTCCATGCACATGCCTTCACTTCCAACGACCATATCTCTCTTGGTTCTTATGAATTTTTAGGCCATTTTTCCTTCACATACTTTGGTTTCAGCTACTTGTCCACCAGATTTGGGCTCAATCAGACCACATTTGTCTTATCTAGGCTCATTAGAAGCTCAAAAGGTCCAAATCGCAAGTAAGGATAAGTCAATGCCCATACTTTCACTTTAAAATCCCATAACTTACTCAATTATTAGTAATTTTAGTAAACTTGTGCTTCACGTGCTCTTTAAATAAGCAGTTGTCACATAATTTTGGTTTAAGCTTAATCAGAGTTCATTTGGCCCACTTATGGCCCAAATAAATCCAAAAGATCAAAATTTCCCTTATTTTTATACCTCTCGAGTTAGGGCTTATTTCTTTTAAATATTCTTCCATAGAGATTTTTCTCTTTTTACATACTCTTCCTCTATGTCTTGGCTAACTCTCGACCAAATTTGAGACTAAAATTCCATGTATTTTGATCTCAGGACCCAAATCAAGTCGAAAGGAATTAGGGCTTTTCAAGAGATTTTTCTTCTTCACTCAAGAGATTTTACTTCCAATACGTAACCCGATTGTTTTCTCGTATTTCTAAAATAATTTTTTGCCTTCTTTAATGCCATTTTGGCCTCGAGAAACATTTTTGGTCCTAAAAAACTTGGTTATCTTCTTGAAAAAAAGTTATCTTTTTAAAAGGTTTCTTTTATCTTAATTTCATCGTCTTCATATCATTTGATTCAAAACTTAATCCTTAACCTTATTACATCTTCCTTCATAGATATAGATGTATGATCGACTATACCAAACTCAAGAGTTTAAATCGAAAAAAATCCTAGCTATTACACAACAAGCTCTGAATCCAAGGAAACCAACTTGACTACTCCCCCTCTACCTATATTTACCCTTGTTTTAATGTCTTTGGTCTTGCCTCTACTAACACCACCAATCAAAGAAGACCAGCAAGAGTTTGTTTTGTCGCAAGCCATGTCCAACTCCAGCAATAAGTTACTCACTTATCTAATTCCTCTTTATATGAGGATAAATCTAACATTCTTCTCGTGTTCATTTTAGAATAAAGCACATGGTTAGTGTTCAAGAATGGGAATAATTTCTGAGGACTAGCCACACGATTCATCCTAGGCTAAATTATTTAAGAAAATCTTATGCGAAATCCAGAATCAACAACACAATTTAAAATCCCACATATAATGATGTGGAACTCAGGATCAACTAAGTAATGAAAAATCCCACATATACACCAGCAACCAAAAACTCAAAACCTTAAATAAACTCTCCTTACTTGACTGACACTCAACAGGAAGTGAAAATCAAGATAATAAAGATAAATGAATTAATTACAATACCATAAGAAAACTTTGATAAATTAAAATTAATTCAAGAAAGATATTGATAAAAACGCCACAAGTTACTTTGATAAGTAAACACCAATTCCTCACTCAACAAGAAGGTTCAAGAAAATCTCATTAGTTGAAACTAAAACTTTGTAATTTTATTATTCTTAGAACTTTAATTAATACAACTGTAAATTGATGACCTATTTATAGTGTAAGCCATGTGAATAATAAATAATAATAATATCCTATTTTAATAGTAAAATTACATTAAAAATTAAATATATATTAAAATATAAAAGTTACAACAATTAAAAAGATTATTTTCTAAAATAAGATAGATATGATTTTTCTTTTTAAATGAAAAATATCTTAATTAATTATGGAGATGATTGAGTAAAGAATTAAGGAAGATTATGATCAATTTGGAAAATGATTAATTTCTCATAATCTCCCAAAATCCATGAGATTCAATCTCCAATTAAGGCATGAGATTTATTTTCCTCTTTCTCTTGATTTCCTTTACGGTTTAAGAAAGAAATCCACCCCTTGGTTAATTCTCCCTTTAAGAAGAAATTCTTTTCCCTTTCCTTACTCACATTAAAATATGTCTAGTGTGTCTAAAGAAAAATTTCATTCTAGGATAAATGTAGACCTCATAATAGAAAATCTAGGAAAAAGATGTGTGTGCTCACAAAAGAGACAAAATTCTATGAGTTGGGTAGTTTACCAAACAAATTTCCTGGGTTTTAACATGTTAAAGCCCTGAGAATAATTATTAGAGGTGCATATTTTTCTAAGTTTAGATATCCTTCAGCCAACATGCTCATTGAGAAATTCAAGTTTTACATCATATTCTGGAAATCAATTCAATGTATAGCTGAGCATTTGATTATCTATCCATTATGGAGATTTTATTTCTTTGACATATGCTTCAGGATAAACTTATGTGTCTTCGTGATATTATTTTTCAGGAAATGTGAGAAACTAAACCCACCTTAGTCCTTATTCTTTATGGATCCTTAATCTCCTGCGTACTTTTTTAAAAATTTTCCTTAAAACATTAAGAATAAAAGAATTCATTAAAGTTCCAAGTAGTTTGGTTTATGATTAAAACATGATCAAGTAAATAAAAGGTGGCTCTTCGTCTTCTCCAGCATGACGACAAAGCTCTCTATGCTACACGACCAATGGCCCCCATTTCTAGTGCTGCCCTGATGACTTATTTGTCCACCTCCAAGTTTTTAAGAAAAATCTAAGAATCTTCAAGTAGAATCAATACATTTTATCTAAGATGAAGGCTATACGGGAGTATCTAGGAATACAACAATAGTTATTTTGTAAACCATTGAGAAAAAATTAATTATGTGAAAATTTGATTATTTATGTGAATCATTTGATGTAATAGATAAGATATGGTACTTCTTATACATATGCTTGGAGTTTGTTATAATAGCTCTTGAGAAGCTTTATTTTGTATTGAACACATATTTTGAACTTTCTTTTGGTAATCTGAAATGAGTTAGTTTATTACACAAAATTATGGCCAATGTTCAGTATTTATGCTTTTTTTTTTTAATTTTTAAAGTGAGCAAGCACATGGCTTTGAATGTTTTAATGCAAGAACATGGTTCCTAGCATCATTAGATTCATGTTATCCATTTTACTCATTGCGGCTTCCACCTTTGCTTTCTGATTGATGAGAAAAATGAGAGTAACATGAGAGAATCATATTAAAAGAAAATTCCTCTCCATGAAAAGTTGTGAAAAGCTATGTATGTTGGATTCATTGGATATTTATTGATATGTATATCTAATAGGTTTGTTTTGGGTTAATTGAAGATAATTATTTACGCACTTAAAATTTGAATACCGATAACTTTTTTTTTGTTTTTAATTTTTGATTAATAAGTTGGAATGGGGAGCATATAATATGGGGAAGCTTTCTCATGCAAGAATGTTATTCTTTTACCTTTTTCAAATATACTTTAAGTAAATTATAAAAAATAAAAAAATTAAATTTTGTCATCTATTAAAAAGGAGGAGGTTGTGGGAATCTTTAATTTTGATGAATTACAAATACTTAATTTGTATTAATATTTCTTGAATGAGCCTTGAAAGAAAAGTTATAGAAAAAGTTAAAGAAAAAGAAATGGAGATTGAAGATCTCATGAGAAAAGGTGAAAGAGAAGAATAAACCAAAAGACTTATGCATAAAGTACATTAATATTTGTGTAAGTGTTTCTTTCTATGTTTGGCTCAAAGGTTTTTTGGTACAGTTAGTGAAAATTTAAAAAAGAACTAATTTAAGATTGTTAGAAAAATTTTTCTTAGAGTTTTATGTAAAAAGTAATTTTAAAATAATGTTTTAAACGTATCAAAGTCAGAAAAAAAAAAATCGAAACAAATTTATAGAACTTTTTTCAACACGTGTCAATGTGAAGTGTTGAATGCATTACACAACTTATGCACACATAGAGTTGTTGAGGGCATATGATATTTAAATATGCATCATAATTTTTGCATGCAAAGAGTTGCTGAGAAAATGTGATGTGATGAAATGCATTACAGTATTTCCATACACAAAATTTTTCATTTTAAAACGCATGTGTAGAAGCGATATGGTACTCCCACGCATCACACCTGTGATTGCAACTTTTAGGAACAACTTTTTCAAATCTTTTAAGCATTTAATTCTCACACATAACTTCTTTTTCCTCCCAAATGTTGTACTTTTTTGGATCTTTAAATTTCTTCTATTTAAAATATTTTTAAGAATATTTTGAGATTGAAAGTCAAATGAAAATTTTTCTCTTTCTTCTTGAGTCATTCTTTGAATCCGTATATGAATTTTATCTTAAATATTCACTCTCCTTGAGATATTCTCTTGAAATTTCTTCTTTAAATATCTTTAGATTTGTGAAAAATGTAGTAAAATATTCTTTTAAGTGATATTATAGTTAAGAGAAATACTTATATACGTATATTGACAACTCATAAACTGGCTTTTGTTAGAAATTTATTAAAAATAGCAAAAAATTCTAAGTTCTTTACTTTAAAAGATAACGTAAACATACATTAAGTGGTCGAACCTCTATAAATTAATATTTGTAATCTTTTAAATCATTCTTTTATTTACTTATTATTATATTTTTTCTTTATATATTATTATATGACGTATTTCGTTTGTGCATACTATTTATGTTTTAAAGTGTTTAAATTTTTAAAAACTCAATTCATTCCCCGTCTTGGATCTAGTTTGATATTAGGTTAACTGTTTTCACAATATTTATAAATTAATTTTTCATGTATCATCTTTTACTTCTAAAAAAAAATTATAAACTTTACTAGTTCGTTATCCTTTAATACTAATTTTATTTTCATTCTCGATATTACGTTCTTTGAAATTAAAAAGAACTACTTAGACGGTCATTGCAATTATTAACTTTTAAGTAGCAAATTGAACAAGAATATTATAACTATCATGACATAATCATGCTTTGGCACAAAGAAAAACATGAGCTAAAATGTCAAATGTTGTATTCTTGAATAAATGAATACTTCAAAATCTACCAACGATCAAATATTATGATCTAGTGGAGAGAGACACATCCGCATCATTGTACTTGGTGAAAACGTACAAATTACTAATCAAAAGAAATTTCTTTCTTCCATGGAGGAACTGGTGGAAGTACGATATTGACGTACATATATATATGTGTGTATATACGAATGTGAAAGAACTTTTGGCAGGGTTCTCCAAGTAAATTACAAGTTGTAGAGACAACCCTCCACCCCACCAATTTTTTGAATGAACCCAAACCATAAAAGGTAAGTTTGTGGATGGGGACAACCTTTTTGTTCAAATCTAGGGTCCCCCAATTTTCCCGATTATAATAACAATTATTATAAACATATTCATGTAAGCCTTTTCTTTCTCGAGATTTTCATTTATTACATCAAAAAACAATACTAGAATTATAAATATATATATATATATATATATATATAGTACTTCACACAACCCTAAATTATGCCAAAGTTTTTATTTTCAAAAACAAAATAATAAGCATACGCTCTACACGCAAGCAAATTAATGACGAGGGCGGCGCCACGTGCCATGACTACTTCCTACCTCAGCCACCACACGGCTTGTCCACATGCTATCACGCTTCCCTAGTACTGTTTGGCTTCTTTCTCCGCCTGATCTTATTCAACCGTGGCCAATACGACGCCGTTCCTAGATTCCCTTCTTCACTCGCCTTCTACCTTGTAGTACTACTACCTACAACTTGCCTTCTATTGACATATGAGCAGGCAATAGATATATCTAAAAGACATAGGGATTATATATATATATATATATATACTGATCTTATTCAACCGTGGCCAATACGACGCCGTTCCTAGATTCCCTTCTTCACTCGCCTTCTACCTTGTAGTACTACTACCTACAACTTGCCTTCTATTGACATATGAGCAGGCAATAGATATATCTAAAAGACATAGGGATTATATATATATATATATATATTCTCCCTTTTAAAGAAAAGAAAATTGGGTAAACCATATATGATCATAAAAATCATTATATATATATATATATTTATGATCATTATATGGAATTGTAGGAGTACTGTTGATAATGGGCTCTTGCTAGTTCTTCTTGTCTCTCAAGGAGGGGTTACCCAGCATGTTTTGGATGCTTCGTGTTATTTCCATTTCATTTGCTCTTTGTTCTCTCTTCCTCGTGTAAGCCTCGAAGAACTCCTTGTTCTCTTTCTCCAGTTCTTGCCACACTGATTCATATAATAAACCACCGGACATGGAGATATTAATTTCAATACAACATCACATGAGTCCTGTATATATATTTTATATATTTATATTATGTGGAAGAAATTATAAAAATATGTCTCCAAGGTAACACTCGTCATAATTTTTATTTTTTTAATTAAAATTTGATTTTTTTTTAATGTTTTAAAGAAACTTTTTCTTACATAAAAATTAGGTAATATTTAAACGTTTTAAGAATAATTTTAATTAATTAACTAATAGTATTATTAAACTTTATTTTATTAACTTAATTAATTAATTAAAATTAATTTTTTGGAACTTTTTTATCATCAAGAAATGAAAAAAATCTAAATGTTTGAAATATATGTAAAGAGATTATGGATAAAATTGTAATAAAAAAATTAAAGATCACAAATTCTGAAAATTAACTTGTTAACTGCTAGTATATTTCAAGCTCTGATAACGTATATACATATGCAGTACTGTGTATGTACGTACTTATATATATAGCCTTAATTAATTTCAAAGGGTAGGTTTACTAAGTTTTGAAGAGAGAGAGAGAGAGAGAGAGAGAGACCTGTAGAGGTAATCACCGGCTTGATATTTGCATGCTTGGAGAGAGCATCCATGCACTCTTCTTTACTCATGTTAAACAATAGACACTCTTCTATCAGATGATGAACCTGCGTCATCATCACATCATCAAAACCCGTCATCATCAAGAAATACAGATTAAACCCCAAAATTCAAGAACAAAAACCAAGAGAAGCATGATTAATTAGCAAGATTACTTACCAAATGAATATATGAAGCAGAAGCCTCGTCACCCATGAGCATCTATAAATTACTTCTCTGCAAATCCTTTAAAACCTAGATTCCCAGCTTGCGAGAAGACCTATATTAGCATAATTAATAAAAAGAAAAAAAGGGAGAAACTACTACAGGGAAAGTAGGGGAAAAGACCAGAAAAAGAAAGAGGGAGAGTGAAGAGGAAAGATCAAGTTACTTTGATCAAGGAAGACAACTGATAAATATATATGTAGTGCGTGTATAATATATAATATATAATATAATGACTGTGGTGGAACGTGGAGCGTTAAAAATTTTATGTACTGCATTGCTGTAAAGAATTAATAAAGTTTAATTAGTGGAATACTTAAAAATCTAATATGGGTTGTGGGGCCTACAATCCCACGTGGGTCGAGGATTATGATTGGTGGAGAGGAGATTGTAGATGATTTTATAAGCAGGCATTATTTGTCGCTTACGTGGCCACTAGGCCAATGTCCACGTGACATGTGGGACCCGCTCATCTTCCGTCTAGGACTTCTAACTTAGTATGCGCCTTCCTCTGTTCACGCTCCTTGTGGGGCCTACGTGGGCCCTAACTACCAACTTAGAGTAACATATAAATATATGTTTAGTTTGGAATATAACAAAATATAATATATATATATCTATATAAAGAACATAACCTAAAGAAAACATTTTACAGAAACAAAAGAATATATATATATATATATAATAACACCAGTAAAAAAATTTCTAGCAATCAAAAAAGAAAAAAAACAAATACAATTACAAAATTCACTCTATCTGAACTGACAACCACATGAATTAAAATTATTATACACTTTTTATTTGGATAAATTTTAGTAATAATTAATTAATGTATGATAATGACAGTAATTGAATAACAATCACATAGGATGGGGATGACAAAATTTTTTTATGTTTGGATGATTGTATATTAATATATATTAATAACATATTTTTATTTAGATAATAAAATAATATGATTGTATTTTCAGTCAAATTATTAATTTATCCATACTTATGCATGTAATAGTAAGTAGTATATAAGAAATATATAATAAAAAAAAATTTAAATTATTTACTAATATAATTATATTTGTATTTAAATAAATAATTATTAAAAATTAAATTTTTATATTTAATAAAATAAATAATAAATTGTGATAATAAAAATAGAATTAAGTATATTATATGAGGGTATAAAGGAAAAAAAAGTAACATGTCATTCACATACTACCGATTCAGTGCCTTTAAATTCATCCCAAAATTTTCAATCAGATACCGTTTGTTACCATTGAAAGTTGAAACAATTATA